TTAGGAATATGTTTTATAAAAGTCCCTGTGTGGATAACCACAGGTAACTACTCTATATGGGAAAATCTTAAAGTTTCAGAATTTTTGTCTTATAACCTTTGACTTTTTGTTCCTTCCAAGGCAACTTGCCTTATGGTTTTACTGTGGCTGCTTAGGCACCCGGAATTGCATCTGCATTCAGAGCAGGAAGGAAGGGTGGAATATGAGAATATCAGTGATTTTTTTTTTCTTTTTAAGTCAGAAAAACAAGAGCTATCCCAAAAGCTCTCTAGTAGACTTTGCCCAGAATGTGTACCAGGTCACACTTAGCTACAAAGGCATCCTCTACAGTGACCTCTAGAGAGGAAAGGGGTAAGGGTAATGAGTAATATGTTGGCTGTCATACTGGCCACAAGTGGGGGTGAGGGACGGAAACTTGGAGGTGAACATAATTTGGAGTGTCTCAGAAAACACTGACTACAGGAGTACCTATACAACCACTAAACTCACTGCCATAAGGCGATTCGGAATTACAGAGATCCTGTAGAACCCTGTAGAAACCCTATGGCTTCCAAGGCTGTAAACTTTATGGAAGCAGATAGTCTCATCTTTCTCACACAGAGCAGCTGGTGGGTTCAAACCACGACTACATGGTTAAGAGCCCAATGCTTAAGCCACAATACCACCAAGGCCCCCACCTTAATGTCACTCCAGTCATCTTGAGAAAGGCAAGTTTTATTGGAGGAAAAAGTTCCCTAAATTCTTTGTATAAAAGTTGGAATTAAAAAGGAATTGAGGGCAGAGTGATGACAGTTTTACCTATTTCAAGAATAAAAATAAGTTTGGACTAAAGGAGCTCTGGTAGCGTAGTGGTTACGAATCGGGCTGCGAACCTTAAGGTCAGTGGTTCTAAACTACCAGCCGCTCCGTGGGAGAAAGATGAGGTTTTCTACTCCCGTAAGGATTTACACCCTCAGAAACCCTGTACAGGGTTGCTATGGGTCGGAACCGACTCGACGGCACTCAACAACAATGTCTAATTACCAGCTTGGAAGGTAGTAGGGGTCTACCCTTTATAACATCATCTTATCTAGGGTCTCCACTGGGCTACTCTACAGTGATGCGAGGGGTTGTGTGCACTCTTTCTGAGAAGCCGGAAGTCCTTGTACTTAAATGCTCCAGTGTGCGGCAGCAAATTTAAAGAGAGAGGGGAGGAGAGCGAGCAAGCAGCGCTCCTGAGGTTTGTGGCAAGAAAGGAAGGATTCTTCTTGGCTTCAATAACTGGGTAGGAGAAGGAGTTTGAAAGTTTAATTTTAAAAGCACTTACTCAAGGAAATTCTGCAAGACTCTTGTGACTGGAAAACTAAGGTGCCAAAGTGTCTGAGAACATGCCAGCAGAACTGATGTGGTGCAGAATGGGCATTTAGGATGAGGATTTGCCCCATGGCCTGGAGGTGGGAAAGCTGCAGGCTGGGTCACATGGTTGCAGCATCATGGAGGATTGAAGTGCTTTGGAGGCAGAGCACCACTTAACTATTCTTGGTGGAAATCAGTCTTTTATAACTAGCAGCCCCTGTTCAAAGTCATGTCATTACAGGCTAACAATACGTTTTGTTTCCCCCC